AAGTGATTTGTAAAAGAACTAGCTGCCCAAGATAGATTCTCAAATCAACACAGTCAAAATTATATTTACTGTCAACATATTTCTGGTATTGTTCTGTTTTTTGTTTTGTTTTGTTTTTCACCATTTTTTTAGCAGAATTTATATTTAAATCAGTTGATTAATTTATACGATTCAAAATCCATAATGCAAGCCTTCCAAAGGCAGTTTTGTTGTATGTTTGGGATCATTGTCCTGTTCCAATAACTGTCTGTCCAAGTACCAACCATCTGATACAACCTATCCATTCAATTGGAAGGGACATATTTGGAAAGTTTATGACTATTCCAGGAACCATCAAGGATCATAAACTGGATGCTGCTAAAATGCCAGTGTAACAGTTTGGAGAGAAGACAGTAGTAGCATCATGGACTGAGAGGCTTCCAGCCAAGACACCAGGGAAAAATCAACACCTTCAATCTTGACTAAAGCTTTTCACTTTGTGTATGGAAAATTATTCCTGCTAGAGAAACATTTTATTGTCAGACAAGACAAGGACTGAGTTATGTAGCCGCAATAATAGGAAGCATATTTGGGGTAATCAAGGTGAGACCACCTCCAAATTCTTCTACCTCAATTGAAATCGTTAGCTATGTAGTTGGCACTTGAGTAACAATCCCAAGCACACATCAAACATCTGAATATTGATCTTCTGTAATGACTCTAACCAAAATCTAACAGAATCTTATCCGTTATGCTTTAAAACTTGGTCCATGTATGGGGGGAAAAGCTAATTTGAAGCCAGATTTATCCCTTGTTGATGGCTGTGTTTGCTCTGCAGCTTGCCATGTGATATTTATCCAAGTGAGATTACATGTGTATATTTGAACATGTATTCCTCTTTTATGCTCAGTAGTTTTTCAAATGTTTGTTTGAAGTTATTTATAGAAACATTGTCATATTGCAGGGAAAACAATGGTCCAAATGGACAATTAAAAACCTAAAATTATTGTGACATTTGTTACCATGAGTGGATGTACATCTCTGACCAGAATTCTCACTTCCTGTAAGTATGCTTTGCTGGACTTTATCAAATTCTCCTGTGTCTGTAGATACTGTGAGAGCAGGCGAAGAGTGCTGCTACAGCACGTACATGAAGGCTATGAGAAGGACCTGTGGGAGTACATCGAGGATTGAGGACACGTCCCAATGCAACGGACTATTGAGTATCTTGACAAACTAGAGCGCTGATGCAATTAAACAGGGCAGCACGGGCCTTCTGCCGCCTCTCCTCTGGCAACCAACCACTTTTGCATCATTTTTTTCTTTTTCCTGGATTTCTTTAACAAAAAAAAATCTTAAAATAAATTATATTTAAAGAAAGTGTAGAGTAATACAGAGAAAGTGTACTACAGTATTGTTAGTGACAGAGTGGAGTCTACAGGAAGCAGAAAAATCCATCATAAACAAATACATCCTTTCGGTCTGTATTGTAACCCTCTAAACTATCTTTTTTTCTGTTTTTTTTGTGACTCTTTTCTGTTTTAATTTTTAACTTTTGTTTTTAGTTTTTTTTTTTTTTTTTTTTTTCCCTAAGTGTGAAAAAAAATATTTTCAACACAGCTTTAATTGTCCTGGCCATGTCTGCAATATTTGGTGAAATCCTCGTTCGGATGACTGAATATTGATAGGCTGATTGCAAAGGGTGCAAAGACATTTCAAGGGGGAGGAAAAAAAGAAGAAAAAAAAACACAAGAACAAAAAACAGCAAGTCTGTATTTTTTCAAATTGTAAATAGTCCATATGCATGGAAGTTAAAGAGCAAGAGTGGCACGTGTTTGCATAATTTTGAAATATTTATTCTTTACCGATCTTGAAAAAGATGTACTTTTCCCATTTAGGTTGAGTTTGTTTACGCCTCCCATTAACAGTGGGGAGTTTGGAAGCATTGGCAATAAGGCATTCATCCTGTTGTCTTCAGTCTGCTCAGATCACTGGACAAAAGTTCCTCATCAGGTTAGTCTGTAAAGAAACTCCAAGAAACCTTTTAGGTGATCAAAAAAAATGACTCTGAAAGTATAGTCAAGGTAAAAAGGAAAAAAAAGTGGAAAAGATTTTACAGGTAAGAGCTAGTAATGTACCAGCCCCACACCCCTATGCGCTTATATTTGTTGCGCTATCATAATTCTTTTTAGAGACATTACTAATTATTTGCAAGAGCCAAAATGAGTGACATTCACTCTTTTTTTTGTTTTGTTTTTTTTTACTTTGTTCCTGACGTGGCTTGAGTTAGTCCTGTTAAGTCAGCTTGCACCTTGTGGACTGAGAGGGGTTGGTAGAATGTACTGACAGTTTTTTATTTTATTTTTTAGTTCTAACTGGGCTTGATCACTCTCAAAGTCTGCCAGGCATTTACATCACCCTTGTAGGTAACTTCTGAACAGGCCGATAGTTGCCCGATTGCTTTGAAGAGATCTTTTGCCTTGCAGTAAGACGGAGCCTTGCTTTAAACAAAGCGACACAGACTGACTTCAGTGTTCTGTAAAGAGATGCAAATTTAAGGGCAAATCTCTGAAGGTTGCAGGGGTGTTTTGTAAAGCTGGTATACTTTTGCATAAGTCAGTGTTTTTCTTTTGTTTTGTTTGTTGTTTTTCTGTTTTTGTACATGGGTTGAGGTTTCAGCAGTGAAATGTCAGTGCCCCTCCAGGTTTTGCATCGTTCTGTGTGGCAGCTGCCCTGATTGTCAAGCTCTCTGTTTGTAGATGCTCGTTCATGTCTCTGCAATGTGGCAGTCTTCACAAGATTGGCTGGAGGGGACATGATCGTTCCAGGCACTGATGCAAGTTGGAAAGATGACACCAAAGTGTCAGCCATCGTTAAAATACATCCCTTGCCCTAGTTTCAGATCTTTGGGCAATTGTCTCCCAAAATGCTTCTTATGTGTTTCAAGTTATTTTATCCTAGCAAATTATAAACTGTACTGTTTATTTGAATAAATGTCATGAGAAATCTGATTTATGGGAGTGATGTGTGAGTCATTAGAGTAGGCCTGGTGTCAAGCAGTGTAATTAGCCAGATATCAGGAGAAATGCACAGATGAGGCTTTTAAATGGCTGATACCGATTTCTTGCTTTCTTTGAGGTCTTTATAGACTTTTTAATTATTTTTTTTTTCCATTAGCACTTCAACAAAAAAGGAGAACAAAATGTACTGCTGGTTCTGTGATGGAGGTAGTAGTTTTGAATCCACCTGAAAATGAAACATATTAACCATATTTATCCAACAAAACTGTTCTAATTTTGTTTAAAAATTTATCAATACATCTTGTTGTTTGATGCTTTTAGAGGCAGAAGATATTCTGACTTCTTAATTTTGATTCATTTAATGAATGGAAAAATGAACTTGTTGAGGAATCTGAAGAGAATTGTTCAGTCGATTGGTGCACCTCTAACCCATTGCACTTTTCTCTACACTACAGACCTTTGCAGCGCTTTGTCTTCCGAATAGGTGTGGAATTTGGAAACTTTAATCTTAAGTTTTGGTCTAAATGATAAAAGTTGACTCTTTTTGTCACCAAGTTTACATTCAGATCGTTTCTTTTGTTGTTGAGCATCCAGGAGTTGCTTTTGTCAAAGATGACACAAGATGAATGGATACAAAATGCTTTTCTCCAAGTTGTTTTGCATTAACTTCAGCTGTAATCGTTATCTTAACCTGCTCTTCAGGAGCTCACTCTGTTTTCACTCTCTGCTAGAAGTTTTTGACCATTTCAGATTTTTAAGTTTTGGAGTAACAGAAGCAGCTACTTGCATTAAACTAAGACATCCAAAAACTTTTAATACTTTTCTACATACCTTTCCTTTATGCTTATAAAGGTGTTTTATTTCCTAATAGTGTAAAATGTGAGGGGAAATTAGATGTTTGTTTTTGGAGAAAAAAAATATTAAAGTGAAAAATGTTGCAAACAGTCGTCTTGCATGGGTGGTTGATTGTGGACATTTTGTTTGGCATCCACTAGCCTTTGGCTGCATATCAATAAATTAGAATTTTATCAATAGGTTTACTAATTGCAGTAATTCAATAAGTGTGAAACTTAAGATTCATTGCACAAACAGATATGTTTGCTTACTTAGGAGATTGTTACAGCTACCAGAATCCCCAAAGTTGTTTTTCGTAATGGGAATATTACTCAAGACTGACTTAAAAAGTAAATGTATTTTTAATTCAATAACATCATTGCCAGGTAACGACCTAAATAGAGAGGACTGCTGACTCGGCAGTTGTCCAGCAGTCAGTCAATGACACCCTTCACAGGTTCACAAAACATCCTGCTCAATAAGCTGGCTGTTTGGAGAGAAAGATCTAATTATATTAATGGAAAGCTTAGTGAAAGATAAGTTATATAAAAAGTCCCACAAGCAACTGGGAAACCAGTACCCTCAAAATGATAAAGCAAAGCAGATGGCGTCTTGAAAAGACTCAGAACGTGTGGACTGCAGCTGGATTTAAAGTTTCAAGACCTGCTACACACTGATGCATCCAGAACAGTTTAAAGCTTCTGTTAAAGCAGCAGAAGGTTTAACAGACTGATCTCGGTCATAGTACACAGATTCAGTAATTCATACAAAAGGAGCCAAGGCCAGGCAGTTAAATGAGTGTATGTACTGTGCAGTCCAGTAATATATAAATCTGTGTTTCACTTTTTAATTTAATATATATATATACACATGATGGATCTGACTGAAGGTTATCCAGGCAAACTGGTAGAAGAGACAACATGCAACAGTCTGAACTTCCACAGGATGGTGACAAACACACAAATTTCTGCCTTTCTACAAGTTCACACTCCTGTTGCCATACTTTCAGAGTCAGTCAGGCATTAGGAGAATACAGATGCATTTGGCCAGATGCAATAGATTCCCCCATTACCAGACTTTCCAAGTTCTGAACAGATAATGTATCTGTTAATTGGATAAATATTTGGAAGTATGTGAAATTGACTTTGAATAGAAAATGCAACATACTTTCAGTATAAAAACATTTATTTTTAAAGACCTTAAGAAGATTCAACTTGTTCACTAAGAATATTGTGGGAAAAAAAATAAAAAATGTAAAAAGTATTTGAGGTTTAGTCATAGATGAATGTCAGAATATTGAGTTCGATAAACTTCCATTCAAAAATCTCAGTAAGGTTCTGGTTATTTAGAAAAACAAAAAAGCAGCTTCATATAAAGTACCTTAATGCCTGTTGAGCTTCATTTGCTCCAAAAAAGTTTCTTTGAAAACAAATTACTGCAAATTAAGTCTTGTAAACATACACACACACGTGGCACTGTATTCATTTACATTTTTTTAAAAAAAAGAACATCTTTTTTGGCATTTTTTAAAAAAAAGGGAACAGTTACCGAAATATACATGATGGTGGAAATTTGTAATTTCTGAGTAAACTCCTTGAAGCCACTGTGTCAAAGACAAAATGTCATTTACAACAACATCTGTAAAGAAAAACAACGAAGGAAAAGCTTCCAGTCTAGCAACATTTTTACTTCGTCGTTGCACTCTGTGATCCACAACCCCTCAGGAAAAGAAAACTTGAGAAATGTTTAGTCTTCTATTTTAAGCCAGCCCTTCTTGTAATCTATGAGCAGTTCCAGGTAGTACTTCCATTCCGGCTCGCTGTCGTACCTCACCTCAAATACCGTCTTCAGGGGATTGGTGTGAGCCTCGTGGATACGCAGCACCTCTCCTCGGTACCACACCTCCGATTTGTCGTCTTCTTCATACAAGTGCCTGATCCTCTTCCCCACCAAGTCCGGGTAGTAGAATCTCATGGCCCTCTGGGCCGTCTGGACGGCCGAGCGCAGAACCCACCGCCGCCTGTGCTGGGCGCTGTGGCAGGCCGACAGATAGGGACAGTATTTGATCTTAAGCAGAGACCTTTGTTTAGTTTTAGAGCAGCTGCTGAGGGACCTTCCAGGATGACAAAAGCTTCCTTTTCCCTTCCACCTGTTCAGTGTGTTAGGCTTTCTGTGTTGGCTGCTCTCTCCGCTTACACCCTCTTCAACTTCAGTCTGTGACGACGAAGGCTCAGCAAACGCCCCGGACTGCGACACGGCTTCGTAGCAAGCCCTTTTTCTGTTTATTCCCGCACTGAGCATCTTCCTCAGTTTGAGGATCATGCCAGAGCAGTTCTTGGATGGGGCAGAATGTCCCGAAGGCCGATTGTCGGTCAACAGACCGGAGGAGCTCTCAGTTTCAGCATCGCTATGAGACGGAGACAGCTCTTCCAGCGTTAGTGGACATGTCCAGGAATTGTCATCTGATTGTGTAGCAGCTGTAAGATCTTCCTCTGCAGCCACGAAATCAGAGTCTTCATTCTCTATCTGATGGAATCCAGGAGTTTTAGTTATGACTGATTTCAGATCATCTTCGACTGCTGCCTGCCCCGCACCGCCTGCCCCTTCTTCATCGGAAACCAGTAAAGTTTGCCTCGAATCGCTCTTTACTCTGCATTTGGTTTTGCTCTGGCTAGGAGACGACTCGCTCTCCTCTTCCTTCACGCATGTCTGCTGGTACGACTCCGATGGAGAGGCCGGGGAGGCAAGAGCATCACAAGGAGCTGCATTTGTGGCGTTTGACACTTCCTGGCCTCCATCTTGCTCTTTATAATAAGGATCCATATTTAGTCCTGCAACACAAAGACCATTACATTTAGAAGCTGGTTTTAGCAAGTGATGGCACCCACAGGAATACACAGTGTAGATGTATCTCAGTAGATCACAATATCATCAAATGGTTCATTTATTTCAATGCAATAAAACAACTTATCTATTAATGACATTTAGGTTTTGTTCATTTTGATGATTATGGCTCACAGCTAATGCAAAACCATGATATGATTTCTCTGAAATTAGATCACTACACAGCACCATAAAAAAAAAAAAAAGAAAATCCTTTAAAACAGAAACGTTGCAATGTGGCCAGCACAACTATTGAGAACACTCCTGACTTTACAGACATTCAGCTAACGGTCATCAACACTCGCCACAAATGTTTGGTGCAATAGAAACTCATCATGTATATTATGATTATTTATTTCATTGCTAACTCTTTCATTAGAGAGTTAGCAGTCCTTTCTAAGATTGTGCAGGCCTCAACATTTTGACCTTAAAGATGATTTTATTATTCCCTACATAATATTCTATTTTTCAAGGGGGAAAAAAGTTTTTTTTTTACTAGCTATAAGCCATAATAAACAAAAGTAGAGGTTTAAAATACATCACTGTGTGCAAAGAATGTACACATTTATTTTTAAAATGTAATTACTGTAACAAATCAACATTTTGATGATATTATAATATGTTTGGAAAAATCAGGTTGTTTACTAAAAAGGGAAAGAGAGTTAAAGCAGGTTATAGCATTTATTTAGTGCTCAGAAGAACCACCGGACAGCGATTTGGAAAAGGGAACTTTTAGAAGAGATTCAAAGGTAAGCAAATATATGAGTACATTTTTTCCAGGTTTCCCAAGTGAGATTTCCTTGAAAGGGAGACAGTTTAATGTTACAGAGGAACCTCATCAGCATACAGAAACAACAGGAAACTGATGTCAGCTGATAAACGGGAGTCGGAGAAACGTCTACCTGTGATCTTCCACACCAAAACATTCGAACAGGACAGACAGACAAGGGAGGAAACAAAGGCCGTCAGAGTGAATGTGAAGGTTGGGAAGAAACTCAGCTGCTATAGGGGATGCAATCAGTCAGGGGCTAAAACAACAGTGAGGGGAAGAGAAGGACAGGAGCAAAGATCATTTACTGAACCGTGTGAAATGGAAAGTGTCAGTAGTGGACAGAAGTTCAGGACAGGTTCAGGAAAAATAAACATGCAGCCTTGAATTCTCTTTCAAGACCTTCTTGATGAGTACTACATGTGTTGCTACAATTGAGGTAAGGAGGGCAGTACAATCTTTAGAATCGAAGGTGTGAATTTTACTTAAATTCACATCTCACCCTCCTAGAACCCACTGCCTCATGGTGTTATGTGGAAGGCAAACACAAAGTAGTGCATAGTTGTGAAGCGTAATGAGAAATTACATTGATTACAAATTAAAATTTGTTTTCTGAATAATCTGAAAAATGTGTCGTCAATTTGGATTTAATCCCTTCTGACTTGGCTAAATAACATCCAGGTCTCAGAGGTTTCGTAAGGAAACCAGGAGACATTGAACATGTGCCAGAATACTGTTTAATCTGTCATCTGAAGATGGAAACAATATGGCACAACTTCAATCCTACCAAACACAGCTGTCCACCTAAATCGCACAAGGCGAGCATTAATGAGAGAAGCAACCCAATGAGTCATTGTAACTACACAACTGGAAAAGTCCAGGTGTGGAGTGGGAATATCTGTAAACTTATCTACCTTGAGTTTGGTCTTTATGTATGACAGGCAAGAAGAAAAATGATTCTTAAAGTCATAAAAAGTTTCATTTGTATTTAATCACAAGCTGCAGGGAGCACAGCAAACATGAGAAAGAAGGCGCTCTGTTCAGATGAGATCATAAATGTAACTTTTTGACTATATGCAAAATGCTGTGTGGTGGAAAACTAACAGCACATGATCCCGAACAAACCATCTCTGCTGTGAAAAGAGGGCTGTGGCTGCTTCCTGCCGTGCTTTTGCTTTTCTTGCTGGTCAGAAGGACCTTCTGAGGTGTACTGAGCTAAATGGGGGACAATTCTTGAAAGAGACTTGTGAAAGGCTGCAGTGCAGAAGTCTACTTTACAGCGGGACTACGACCTAGTACACCCAGAGCTACAGTAGAGGAAAATATGCCTGAACAAAATCTTAAGCTTCTGTTGCAATATCTTCTAAAATTACTGTTGGCAGAAACTTGCTATTGAATCTGACTGAACTTGGGTTTTTTTGCAAAATAGAATGAACAAAAAGTTTCTCAACCAGTCGTTCAAACTTAGTGGGATATACCCAGGATGACTCAGATTTTAATTTGTAAAAATGTTAAAAGAAAAACAACAACAAGAATTTTCTTCCTTTAAGAACATAATTATGCACCACTTTGTGTTTATCACATACGAATTCAGTAAAGAGTGTTAAAGTTTGTAGCTGAAACGTGAAGATCAAGTGATTTGAAAAGGAGAGAAAAGCTAATATCTGCGACTACTCTGGTTACGTCGTGCCAACCTCCCTTGCTTTTTTTTTTTTTTTTTTTTTTGCGGTCAGGTAACACATTCCCAAATTATTTCATTTTTCTATAATCTGCCAAGCTCGCCACCCTCCCGCCTCCAGGCCTAAACCAGTAAAATCATGCAACTTCTTGTGATTTACTGCTGAAAGTTAGCAGAAGGACCTTCTGCTATACAATCATGGAAAAGCAAAGAGTGGTTAATTTAAGGTCGAAATTAAAAACAGGAAAGGTATATATATACCTGGACTCTCTTTTGGACATCAGGTGAGGGTGATTCTGTAAAAAAATAAATGAATTTTATATTGCATAATTGTTTTTAATTGTGCTTCATTCTTCACAAAAAAAGGGGCCACCAATGAAAATTTGATTAAATGAATTAAAAATAATGAGTTAAAAGAAAAAAAAGACAGACGTCAGGGATGGCTATAAAACAGAATTGCAGCTTGCAAGTCATTTAAAGGGGATTTCCAAAAATCGGCAAGCTAATACTCAGTTTACTTTCTTTATTTGTAAAGACAAAGTTCTTCTAGTACATGCAAAAAGAATGTTGCCTTCAAAACCTTTAAAAAATGCTGCGTAAAAGGTATGTGAAGCATTATTCTTAGATTTCACTGGACCAAGTTACCAAATTTACCATTTTATGTTATAATCTTCACAAACTGGTTTTCAGAAATCTGTTTGAGCTGAATTCAGTGTTTTGTTAATGAGTTATTTAATGGTATATTAAAAGGTCCAAAGATCAGTCTTGTTTTCTGCCCTTTATCCTACATTCAGCTTTTTTTTTCTTTTTTTTTTTTTTTACAGACATTTCAATTTGTTTTAAGAGTTTTACATTGACATCAGCAGTTAGCTAAAAAGGTGATGATGATCATCTCTGTAGCCATGCAATAATTTTATTCCCATAAAATAAATAGGTACAAGAACTGTACTTTGTAAATGCCATGAAAAGATTATGTTGTTACAATCACTGAAAAGAGAAATGATAAAACACAAATTAAAATTAAAATTGTAGAAAGTACAAATAATTGAAGTAAAAAAGCGGTTATATGTCCAAAAAAAAAAAATTTGTGATAAAAAACCTTATCCTGTTTTAGTTTGTTTTTAAAAACAGTACATTATTTGCAGCATCCTGTTTTTGGAGTTGATGGTTCTTTATAGTCAAAGTGCTCCGCAAAAGTGTTCATTTCCCTTTAAGAAATACTTCTGCACTTTAGCAGTTCCCCGTACAACGTGACGAAAAACTGCAGAGTGGTCTTTTCATGTTTTTTTTTTTTTTTGCTATTCCTCAGCAATTTCTCACAGTTGTCCATAGTTTGTTAACCTCATGAGTAATATTTGTCCTGGCAGTAGAATTACTATGTTGACATGAGGAACTCTGCATCTCCTCCAGAGTTACCACAGGCCACATAGCTCCCTCTCTTATTATTGCTGTCTTATCAGAGCTGCCTGTTTAGATGGACGATAATGTCCTTTTAGGCTTCATGTACTTGAGAGATACTCATGTTCAGATTATTTGTAGAACAACTATGTCAGGTGTTTAACATTGGTATTGTTTTCTCTCCATCCCTGGCCAATCTGCTGTGTTCCTTTGTCTTCATAATGCTCTTTGTTCTTAATGTTTCCTATCAAAACTTTGAGACCTTCACTGAACAAATAGATTTATGACAATATTATTTTACATAAAAGAGGTCAGATTAAATTACAAGCAGGTCAATTTACTTCTGAATTTCTGAAGGCAATTTATTGCACTTAATTTTATTTAAGAGTAAAAAGCACATCTGCCTCCGAGTTTTCAGATTTCTAGTAAGAACTATGCATCACTTTCATTCTACATTACAGCTATGCACTACTTTGTGTTTTTCTTTCTATCCCATCAAATCCCAATAAATAGAAAGGTTTTTAATGTAACCTGAGTACATGCCAAATGTTCCAGGGGTTATAATAAACTTGTTAGCTTCTTTAAATATATTTTTTGTTATGTTGCAACAACTGGAATTCTAAAGTTATGGTTGAGCTCTGGTTTGCCGTAACCACCCACTTAATGGGTAACACTTCTGCCACAGTCTCAAAATTAAGCGTACAACATTCATCAGTTCATTCCCTCTCTAAGTCATTTCATTGTAATACTTTGTGTCCAGTATGTCATGATGAGTAATTATCAAAGCAATTGTTATAAGGTTTAGTACGGAGGAACTGGAGAAATGATCCAAACAAAGCAGGAAGACTCAACAACAGCAATCTATTTGCAGTGGGTCCTTAATAAATGACCCTTTTAAACAGGTACTCACCCAGGTGCTTGCAGACGTTCGTGTAGTACAGCAGGTTGATCATCTCTGAGTAAATGTCCGGCAGGTGTTTGAGGGACATCAGCCTCCTGAGCTTGGAGGAACAAGCTCGCTTATGAAGCTGGATGAGGATCTTTTCTTCAGAGAGCGTTGTGGGCCGCAGCTCCACCTTGTGCTCCTGCAGCACCTTGTCGACGAAGCAGCTCTGGACTGTTGGAAACAGCAGCTCCTTCACAACCAGCATGGGGAGAAACACCGTGCCCGTCCGCATCACATGCGGAAAAGGACAGCGCTTCTGAGCTGTGTACTCCCTCAGCCTCTTCAGGACCTCCTGGAGGGCTGCTTTGATCTCCTTGTTGATCCACCCCTCTCTCACCTTTGCCCCCAAGAGGCATGGCACTCTCTGGACCTTGCTTAAATGAGAAGAAGGTTCTGATATTTCCAGCTGAGACTGCCAGCTTTTGAGGTCTTTCTCTGAAGAGGCAGACACAGATTTGGATATCAAGCTGCAGAGAGACTGATGCAATTCTAAGAAGTGTTTGCGTACTGGGGATTGGGGCTCTTCTTTAGCTGTGAGCACAGTTATGGGCTGTGTGGGTGGAATTTGCTTTGCAGGTAGAGCAATCTTACAGTGCTTGCCATCAGGAATGATAATGTTGTAGGTGGAAAGTTTAAGACAATGAGGAGGAATGCTTTTAAAACTGACTTTTCCTGGAGGCAGCAAAGTGCCGGCTTGTGGTTGTAAAGCAACTGCCTGTGTTTCTGTCGCCTCATCCGGATTATCCGGGTCCATTTGTGCAATCAATTCAGCAGGTTTCAACTCATCTGAAGTTGTATTTTCACTTGCAAATAAAGACTTATTTTCTAGTTCATTGGATTCACATTTCTCTTTTGATGCCACAGGCACACTGACAGATGATCCAGTCTCCTCAGGCTCGTTCATCATCTCCACTTTGCTGTGATGCTTTTGACTCTCTGTGGAGGTGTCGACATCTGGCGAATCTGCTTTTTCCACTTTAATCGTTTTAGTTTCCACAGAAAACTCATCAGCTGAAGTTTCTGATGAGCATTTAGACTCCAGGCAGATGGCAGACTCCTGATCATTTTGAACTAAACTCTTCTCTTTGGTATTTTGTTTGAGTTTGTTGTTGTGCTTCCCAGAAGTCTGGCTGATTTTCTGAGTTACTCTTCCTGGAAACAAAACTCCAGATTCCTGCAGGTGCGGCTGGCAAGGTGCCAAGCTGAACACATTGTCAATAACTGGCATAGGAGGAGAGTCAGTTTTATTACTTGCCTTAGCTTTCTCCGTTTCCATCTTTTGTCGTTTGTTGTCGGTGCATTCCACCTCATACACATCCTCATCTTTTATTCTGACTGGGTGAGATGACTGAGAAACACTCCTCTTTAGGCACTTTTTATAGTCGCTGGTTCCTGCGTCGGACACTGGCCCATTGTGCTTGCTTCCTGTTTTAACAGTGGGGGAGTAGATAATTTTTCTGAAATTATTGGGCACAGCTGCATGGGTTCTTTCTGAGCTGTGGCAGGGTGACTGGTGCAGCCATGGTGCTTGGGAAACTGGAAGGCTTTTTGACAGTTTTACCTGAGCTTCACCGCGGGAATGGTCTATGATCCTATCAGTGTTACTTCCAGGTTGTGAATGGACTGCTGGGTCTATATGCAGGCTGGTGAACGGTTGGAAAAATCTGCTAACTTGTATCCTGGATGGTGAGATAGCAGATGGGTTTAAACATCTGGTTGGACTGCTTCTGTTCACCCGTATGAATGATGACGCACCGTGAAGGTGGTCAATGTGCACAGCAGTGTTGGGTTTCTCTTTGGCTGTAGGGACATCCATGTGTTGGCTGGATGAGGAAGCATTAATGTGACTTGGATGAAATGCAGACAATGAATTTTGCCCTTTTAAAGGGGTTTTGATTTGGCCTGCGTTCAAGTGAAATCTTGGAACTGTATAAGATGGATAGTCATAACCCTGTATAAAGGAATGATTTGGCAACATTTCAGTGCAAGACAGAGGAATATCAGTGTGATGTGGCGGAGGAACTGCATAATGCTCTCGGGGGCTTGGGATTGAGTGTTTATGAAGGAGAGGGCCATCTTCTCCCTGCTTACTACCACTCTCCTTCCTCTGGGTCCTGTTTTCTGCCTCTCCGTTTGTCTGGGAGTAGTAAAACCCTGGGTGCTGTGCGAGCTGGCCATATTTGGACATGGGAGAACATTCCTGATAAACCTCTGAGGTCATATGTTCATATGTGGGGCGGGGGGCGTACAGGCCGGGGTAGCTTGCGGGGGAGGTCTGCAGCTGCCGACTGCTGGGCTCTCTGAAAGAACTAAACAGTGTGCGAGTTGGGGTGCAGGAGTAGCTGCTGTAGCTTGGCTCAATGACAGGGGGCAGTGTCCTTACCCTGCTCGGACTGTAGGCCTCCACAGTTGCCCTCTTTAACTGTTCTGCACTGCATTCGAACTGCAAGTTTTTCTGCTGCAGCAGTGTGTCCTTTCTCTGAATAGGAAGCTTTTCAAGGTAGTGGCCATTGGTTTGCAGCCACTCGTGTTCGTAGACAGTGTTTGGTATCCTAGGAGAGATGTGCTCCATGCCGTATCGGTGTCCTATCACACAGCCCAGTTCAGTACAGCAGGGACTAAGTCCATAAACTGGTTTGGGGATCGCCAGGTAAACAGAGCTTTGAGATGGGGAGGGGGCATTCTCACCTCCTGGTTTTGGTTTTCTAATAACTCCAGAGGAAGCAGTTGTTGAATTGTTCATCTCAGGACTTTTAGTATAAATTGTAAAACCCTTCTTAACCGGGGTGTGATGAGCTGCCTCTGAAGGAATGCCATCTTTCCTGTATGCCATGTGGTTCTGTATTATTCCAGAGAGGTTACTCACAGGATTTCTGTCATCCATTGGAGATGTCTTCGAGTGGCTCCAAGGAGGGGTGAATCCATCCCTGTCCTTTATTCTGGGCTCATAAGTAAAATAGGATCCATTGTACTGCAGAGTCTGTTTACCCAGGAAACCAGACATGGCTTGCGGTTTTGAGAGTCCGCTGGATGCTGCTGTTCCGTCAAATAAGGGCATCGTTCTCCGAAACACTGGGTCTGAGAGGGTCTGCATCGATTCGCGGCTCATCGTCTGGCAATGTTGTTGTTATTAACTGGTACGACTCCAAACCTGAGAAATATATGAAAATGATGTAGGATTTCAAAATTTGCAACAAACCAGGAATTTCAAAATATTACAATATTGAAAAATAACATTCTCTATAGGAATAACCACCAAAAACAAGTTTAGAATACATTTATAAAAAGCACACACAGACGGATTTCAAGGTTTTATTTCAGTTCATTTTGATATTCATGGCTTACTGCAAATGAACAAATCTGTGCCACTTCAATCTCAGGAGCTGGATCATTACTAGACCCAGATGCTCAAAGGAACGATACAGGAAGTCATTTCTCCCGGTTGCCACCAGACTCTATCAATCATCATTACTACTGTTAATTAAATTTCCCTTTTGGGATTAATAAGATTTATCCATCTAGAGTCCAAAATGTAGTGACAATATATAAAAATCTTACAAGCCCAGTAAAAAAAAAAGATTTTAATTAGATTTAAGTTATGGTCATGTTATGGCCAGCACAACCATGGGAAAGACTGGTAAACTGACAGTTATCCAGCAGTCAGGCAATGTCAGCTGCTACGTTAATAAGCTTTACTCAAGCATTTATTGGGAAATTTGAGAGGAAGAAAAAAGTTCACAAGTAACCAGGATAGTAGTAGTTTTGAGAGGTTTGTGTAGCTAAGCTCAATCAAAAGTTTTGGATGGATTCAGAAGATGTAGAATGTAAGAGAGGTCAGAGCTTGAAGAGCCAGCTCAAGCAAATGTATCCAGGACAAGAGCTACAATCATTACAATGTTTGTCTTAAGCCACGCCTGAACCAGAGAAGGCATCAAAATACTTTTCCCTTGGCCAAGGTGGTAAAAGGCCAGACAATTGCTCAGTAGTTAGAAGTGTTTTGTCAGATTAAATTCAATTTTACGTTGTTTTTTTTTTTGGAATCAGATTCTTACAGTCTGGAGGAAATGTGGAGAGACAAAGAATCCATGCTGCTTGAAATCTAGAATGAAGTTTCTAATCATTGATAACTTTTGTTTTATTAAGCTACCAGCAAATTTTATAACTGCTGCATGCTTCCCTCTGCCAACAAGCTTCATCAAAACGCAGAAACAATTTTTCAGCATGACTGTGCAAAAGTACCAGAACTTTGTTTGATGAGAATGGCATCCCTGCGTTTGGGAGACCAAACTATGCAGAAGAGCTGAAAACTGGTATCAGAGCCCCCTGCACTTCCTTCTTTAACACTTCACAACCTGATCGCCTCCATGCTTTGCTGCATTGAACAGTAATTAATGCAATACACGTCTCAAGGTTTGAATGCATATACTACAGTACATGGGCATATCTGTCAGTAGGACACCACTTCCTTTTTATTGGTCTTATGCAATTCTGTTATTTTTCGCAAAACTATAGTTTTGGTTTTAATTAGCTGCAAGCTATAATAATCAAAACTTGATAAAAATGTACACTTGAAATATATACTAGTGTGATAAATCTAACTTTTGAATTGAATTACTGAAATAAATTAGCCTTTCAAACTTATTGACATGTATGTACCTGTATTTACAGCTGATTCAGAACAGCCATCTTGAACATTCTCCCACTTTGGAAGTATAGACTCTAGGCAGAAGTGCACTTCTGTGTAGAGACTTCTGGCCAGTTTGTGCACATAACAGAGTCGTCATTAGATAAAAACTGCTTGAGGGCATTTCGCAACCTTGACGAATCTTGTGGTTTATCACACAGGTCACACTAACTCTTATCAGCTGATTCACAGGAACGGTGGAAACACTGTGCAACAAGTGGCAGTAAAGTTACAATCTGAGGAATGCTTGAGGATGATTTATTTACTACTTTTGCAAGGACTGCAGTGACTGAGAAACAGAGAGAACGAGAGCAATTTCCTAAACAGCCTTTTGATTTGGTTGGATGATATTTCACTTTAAGCGTGGGAACTACGGCACAATGGAATGTCTCAAAATTACTTTTAAAACATGCTTCATTTGATATCGGCTTGTTTTGGTCCTTTTAAATGCCCGAATCACTTGTCACTGTCAGATGGGAACATTTTGCCAAAGCAAAATATGTTCCCAAATCTGACCTGCATGCCTTGTCTTGTGTTTACAACCTAGGACAGCAAAAACAGCAGAGAGGACTTTGTGTTTCTATTCTGCATTTTGCTACCACAAACCTTGCAAGAGACACAACAGTTCCTTTTTTTTCTGCACTTCTTTAATGTTGGTGTGGAACTGACTCAGATCCTATTTACTGATCTTCTGCTTACTGCATTTAAAAAAATGAAATCATTTTCCTTGGTCTGAACAATAGCTGAAAGTGCATATCATTTAATTTGTAGGTCAAGTGTTAGCAGCAGAAAATCACCAGCAGATAAAGTTCATAAAGTGATTAACATTTTATTGCTCTTGTTATACGGATTTATAAACTGCCCAACTTTAGTGGCGTGTTGTTTTATATTCTACAATACAAATCATTTACAGCCCATCTAAATCATTACCCCAAAAAGCCATGGTAGCCCTGAGGTGTGACAACATTTCAAAAATCAAACAAAAGCACAAGTAAAAGATAAACAAAACTACATAAAAAAAAAAAAACATCACTGCACTTTTAGCGTTTGTCACTGGGTTTGCGCCCCGCAGTCCACTTCTGTGTAGAAAGTTAAAAATACAGAAGTAGCTCTTCTCCCCTTTCTTGTTTCCTCTTCAGCCCTGTCAAGAGGAGCTGTGAGTCACAAAGTGCTGCAAGTATAGGGAGGGAACATTGCGATCTCTCAAATCACTTTAAAGAGAATAGGCTTCAGGTCAAATGAGGGTTAGTTCACATCATTTCTGTTAAATACATTAAATGAGGCTTACTGGGTATTTGACAAATTGTCAGGCTATTTGCAGGCAACATATTTTGCTGATTTCCTTCTCATAAAAAATATCTTGTCTAATTAATCATGACTAATGGGAATAGCAACAACACTGCATGGGTCCTCAGTTTTGATTAATTTACTGAAGAGGGGGGAAAACACAATTGTTTTTCTATATTTGACCCACTGATCATTAATTTGAGCCAATTAGACATTTACAAGTACAGTGCCTGGGCATGTCATTGGTGCCTCTCTATAGGTCAGTGTTACTGGTTTATTTGCAATGCTTGCATATCAACCAATATAAATAAAATTAGCCACTGAGAAGTTTATTTTTTTAAAATTCTGATTCAAAATATTGAATCAGAAAGTGTAACATTTATGAGGTGACTTTTCTATAATAGAAAAAGTTCATGATATTTTGATATAAATGATCAGAATTACACATGACTTACTTTACCATGCATTCAATAAGTCTGAAGTTTCTAGCAGAAATGATTATTTTAGTCAGGCCTCAGTTTAAGGTCATTTCAATCAGATTCAGATTTGAACTTTGACTAGGCCATTCCAAAACCTGCATTTATTTATGTATTATTTTTGAGCCAGTCAGAGGTGGATTGTTTGTTTAAAAAAATGTCTTTCATTCTTGAGTGACTTTGAACTTATCACATTTTGATCACTTAATATGTTTCTTTGGGATTTCCTGAAAGACAGTAAAACTCACGGTTCATCCAAGTCCTGAAGTAGCAAAGTAGCCCAACACCATCACACTCCAAACACCATGTAGAGCTGTCAGTTTGAGGTCAATGATATGAAAATTTGTGTTGACTTTATGTAATGGAATGGACATTTTTCAGATTTTTTATTTTTTTCCCCAAAAGATCTTGGAGATCATCAACAAGTTTTTGGGGGTAATGCAATGAGTGTTTGTGTTCTCTTTGGTCACCATTGCCTTTCTCCTTGTAACTCTCTCTCATGGATGCCATACTTGTGCCCTCTCTTTTTTTATCGACAAGTTGTGAAAACTGACCTTAGCTGACGTAAGTGAGATCTGCAGTGTTGTAGATGATGTTTGTTTTGTTTTTCTGACTTCCAGAATAAGGTTGTCAATGCACTCCAAGAGTGCATTGACACTCCTGGGTAGGTCAGACACTCCTGGGAATGTTCATCATTGCTCCATGTTTTCTCCCTTTGTGTATAACGACCCCAAAGCCTTAAAAATGACTTTGTGACCTTTAATTGCCTTGTCGCTCATCTGTTCTTGCAATTCTTTAGGTCAGGGCCCGATGTGTTACCTTTTGAGATCTTTCACTTTCTTTCATGTTGTCAGAGAGATTCAATTTAACAGATTTGTTTTTAATTCTACGGGTCTCGCAGCAGTTAGGAAAGAATGGCTCTTGGGAAATTAAGCTCGCTTTTCTGGAAATGTGGCTAAGCTCAGTAAATTCATGATTTTAACAGTGAGGCGATTTTTTTTTTTCTGGAATCAGACCCAGATTACTCTGTAGGGACTATACATCCCTCCTAGCCTGGGTGGGAATGCCTCAGGGTGAGCTTGTGAGGGTTACCAGGGGAGAGCGATGTCTGGGCTTCCCTCCTGAAGCTGTTAGAGATGAGGAAAGCAGTAGACACATGTACATATTATTGGAAAACTGCATGTTGTACGTGTTTTAATTAATTTTTTTTTATTTTATCTCTTAAAAGTAACATTCATATTACTGTGGTAATCTGGTAGTGTGGTAAAAAAAAAAAAACTTTTTTTGACACAACAATAATAAATATGGAGGCCACGCTGTTTTTTTTTTTTTTAAACTGACAGAGACCTTCTTTAGTCACAGCACAGCACACACCCCTGATGTATTTTGACCAGCTGCCAAACTGAAGCTACTGAAAATATCTGAAAATATGCACTGAAGCATATGCTCACATATGCATCCGGGGAAGAAGAAAAAAACTTAGCCTACACAACCAAAATGAAGATGTACAGGATTAGACACAACATGGTTTCATCCAACCTCTTGCCTTATACTGGCCTGCAAAGCTAACAGATGTTATCACTTCATCCTGTTGACACCTTTCACAGTGAGAAAGAGAGAGAGGGAGAAAATGTGTGTGTGTGTGTGTAATAATAATATTAAATTTAAATATCTGATATATATATATATATATATATATATATATATATATATATATATATATATATATATATATATATATATATATATATAGGCCTATATCTATATATGTATATCTATATATCTGTATTGATATATATATATATATATATGTATATAGTTATATACACACACACACACAAGGCGATGGCTTATCTATAGAGAGAGGAGAAATGTGGTTTCTGTGCATGGAGGAGGAAGCAGCAGCAGCAGAAAAGCTGTTTTCGACGGACGGAAGGCGCGCGCTGTCAAGAGTGCAGGCGTGAAGAGCAGCGTGTGTGCGCGCGCGTGCGTCCCCGGGCTCTCGCCCCCCAACTCCCATGATCTGTAGGGCAAAGGGTGATGGAGCGTGACTTCCGAAAGCAAACCGTCCACCCTGACAGGCCACAAACCACGCGAGACCTTGAGAATGCACCGAAAACTTTCACATCGCTGTCGTTATTGATTCGTGCTGCTACATATGGCTACATAAGTTCGCGATAGGAGAGATAATTATTTCCGCCATGTAATAAAAAGTGACTCGGTCTGAAACGGAACTTCAAGTTGGGAGAGGGGGTGGGGAGGAGGGGGAAAGTTGCCTCTCAGCTTCTCCTGGTATCCGGATGGTTTGCATGTTTTGAGGAATGAGTAAACACAGGCTCGTTGTCCCTGCCTGCCCCAACTGCCCCGGCTTAATTTGATAGAAGGGGGGACGCAAATAATATGGAAATAATTGACGAGTTTTAGCTTTCGATCATTGTGCGGCTTATTTTCATACAGGCTGCTTTCAGAGTGCCGTCAGTCATGGTTAAATAAAAAAGAAGAAACCACACAGTGGCAAAAAGAAAAGAAAAAAAAAGAAAACTGCGTTTCAAGCGCTCAGGACGTGTGTCATTGCTTTGATTGTTTTAAGAGAATTGGATTATTGATTGCGTTTTGCCTCTTCAAAATCTTGCCATCACCCAGATCGAACAATTTAATACACAAAAACAAATAATCTTACCTTTTCGCTTTCGTAAATAACCTCCCCATAAACTCCATGAAAGTCGCTTTAATGATAATTAAAATAGGGTCATAAATCTCCGATCTTCAGCTTATGCTGTTATTCGGCTCCAGTGCGTTAAAGCCTCACCAAGCAGGAGCGGAGGCATGCCAAAAGGATTGCGCAGCTGGCCCCAAATCCACGAGGCTTTTAGTGAAGTTAACAAAGTAGAGAAAAGACAAAAGGGTGGAGGATGGTCTTTGATCAATAGGCGGAGTTATACCCCGAGTCAAACCAGGGCTTGTTTTCCCTCACATGGGATGTTTTCCCGCTGGTGACTCCTTCGCTTTTATTGGCTGTATGTCCTTAATGCCCGGCGGCCAGCTGGCACCTAAACTGAAGTTGGGACCTGTGAATGTTTGTTCACTGACAGATCGCGCTCCTCTGTTGGTGTCACGCCTCCCTCTTTCCTCAAATCCGACTTTCATTATCCTTCGGGGAATCGCGGTCACAGTGCAGACGGAAGTGTAGTCGTAGATTTAATTTTTTTTTATGATTATTATTGTTATTATTATTATTATTTTACCCCCGCTGGCTTTATGTATACATCCGCCAAAATTCTGAAAAAAGGCTTCGTAAACCGGTGACCCCGAGGTTCTTCAAATGCACTTTATAATCAAATAGAGGCTCCTGTCGCTCTCTGTAGATAAGAGGAAACGTCACATTGCGTGCTGCTGAGTGGGATGCAATTCCTCAACGAATACTGAAAACTTTAAGCAAAGCAGACAAACGAAAAAGTTAATAAGTAATTCGGGAGATAAGCAACCAACTGTAACATTTTTACCTTTTTTTCCATAACCTGTGGTCTGGCAGACCACAGGTCAGTTTTAAATATCTGAAATTCAGATATGTATGAATAAAATGGACAGTGAAGATACTCTATATGCCTAAGATTATATTAAAATGACTATTTTACTGTTTGTAGGCTAAAAATATTAGACTACAATTTTTATACATTTTATAATGCTAAGGGTGCAAAAAAAAGTTTTTAAACCATAAAAATACACAAAAAGTCAGTGTTTTCATTTTGTATTTTTGTGTGAGAAACCAAAACAAAGATTAACCAATGTTTAAGAAAGTAAGAGAAGGTAATTCATGGTTTTCAAAATGAAAATGTTTCCTGTTCCAGCTAAGCGTCTTTTGTGGTTACTGTTTAAAAAATTCAATTCATGTTCATTCTTTTCAAAGCTTCTCAGTCCCAGTCAGATTTTCAAAATCTTCACACAGACATTCAATTGGATTAATAAGAACTAAGTTTTGAATATTCTTTCATCTATGCTACTTCATTTGAGCTCTAACAGGCTGCTGTCATTATCCTGCATTTAGCTCCATGCATCTTCTTGTAAACAATAAGATCAATGCTGATTGATTAAGAATAGTGTCTGAACAGCATGTTTTCTCTAAGAATTTTGCTTTTAGGGTGACGGTCAGTGTTGTGAATGAAAAAAAAAAGTTAAATGTTTAATGTCTTGTGGTAAGAAGGTCCTGGGTTCAAATCTTATAGAGTTTGTATGTTCTTCTTATGCATATGTGGGTTATCTACACTTTGAAAACATGACTCTTTGGTTGATTGGTCTCTCCAAATTGTTCTCAGTATGCATTTGCATGGCTGTGTTGCACTTTGACGGTCAGGTGACCTGTCCAGAGTCTCGCCCAATGTCCACTGGAGATAGGCACCAGCCTATGGATGGACAGATGATTGTTTTATAATCCAACAGTGATGTTCCATTCTCTTTGACTTTATCTCTGTTGGCTGGTATACACTAGCTCTTCTTGATGTTGTTTGTTCACAAATGTACTCCAACTAATCTCCAAGGCCCCCAGAATCTCTGTCTTTGTCCTTAGTCTGATACAATGGAATTCTGCTTACAAACTTTTGTTAATTATTTCTGGATCTTAACCAGGGGTATTGTGGGGAAATGGGGTTCTGTATAAATGTATAACAGTTTTTGAAAACATTGTGCAATTTTCCTTTTATGCACTACATGTTGACCTACTTCATAAAATTTCAGTTAAATATATTGAAGTTGTGACTATAGCACAAGAAAGCACCCGAAGCTTTAAAGTATATGAATTCTTAAACAAATCACTAGTTTTTTTTTTTTTTTTGTTTTGTCTTTGTAGAGGTAGATTAATTGCACCACTATCTGATAAAGTAGCTCACTAAATCTTTTCCAAACATAATATTTATTACAATAACTAAATGTATGGGTGTGTTGCTGGAAAAAAATTACTGCATCTCTCCTAAAAACCTGATGACATTGATAACCTAAAAGTACAGCTATGCTTAAGATCAGAGTTACTCTCAGTTTCAAATCACCTGCTATAACAACATCCATGCGCCAAACCTGAAAGTTTGAGTTTATCTCACAGTAGAACCAACATTAACAAACTCCTATGCTAAGATGTAAACTAAAAACATATAGTGAAAGTCTAAAACCTTTTGAATAAAAGTTGTGTTTTCACATTTGTTGAGTTCATTTCAATGTAGTTAATGGTTGACTTTAGCTGACCAAAGTTAAAGTCATTACTGCAAACAAAGTGTTTTTTTTGCCTGTGTTACAGTGTTTTGTCACCCACTTTTCATTTCTCATCTGTGTGTCCAAAAATCTAAAGAAGGAACTTTGTTTCCCCATTCAGGTCAAAGCAGCTAAAATTAGTTTTTTTGTCTTGTTTGACTCTATATAAAATGACTGATCAGGTGTTTTAAAAAGAGGCTGAATTGTTCCACTGCTCACTTGATTTAACCTTTAAATGAGCCAATTTACTGTTGCGCTTGCATCATGTCTTTCCCTTTTTCACCTGTGAGCCGGAGTCTAATTTATGTGTCCCACAGGGGCTGTCACAGTTTAGTCTAGACAAGTGGGTGGCTTGCATTGGTCCCAGTGGCTCTGCAGGTAGAAGATGGGGGGTTGTCTGATGTGCCAGGGGTTTTGTTTCCCCTGCCAAGCTGTTTCCCATCTCCCCTATTTCCAGTTACCATGGCATTAGAGCCTAAGGCTTACCAACACAAGGTATCTAGGGACAAATCTTCAAACATACAATGTCAAAATAAAAGCGCATACCCTCGTCTGGCATATGGTGCAACTTGAGCAAGAGATAAGAGATTTGGATTTAAGTGGTACCATATCTGAAATTTGTTCTGAAAAAGTGAATATGCGAAATATCAGAGATTTTGATTTTGTTTGTCAATTTTTGACCTTTTATAAAACCAATAGTTGAGTTGTTTGTAATAGGTTAAAAAGTGCTCCTGTCCCAGTTTTTGGTTTTGTTTCTTCTTCTTCTGAACATTAATCATATTCTGGTGGAGAAAAGCAAATCAAATCCAGAAGTTCCCGATTGTTGCTCATTTTTCTTACACTGTAGCTACAGGTTTTGCGTATTTGCTTTGTTGTATTTGAACCAAAAAACAGTAACTTTGCATTATCAGTATTTTTCTGTGCCTATATTGTCACATTTTCTATTGAAAACTGATAAACCACAGCAATTTCTACTTTCTCTTGACTGAATCCAGGATGTTTACCTTTTTAAATCTCTCCGAAGCCTTTAAAGTGAGTTGTGTTGACACAGGGAACAGAGCAGGTGATCTCTCAGGATGCAGTTTCTGATGAAATCCTCCTTTAGATTCCCAGAGGCCACAAACACCATGATGAGCCTGGAGACTGTTTGAGTTGCATCAGTCTCACAGGCTGCACGTGTTCCTGAATGCGCATGCACACTGACACTTGATGTACTAATATAGTCAATCTGCTCTACTGATAATGCAGCTTTTATCATACTTTCTAAGTAGGAAACGCGATAAAAATCCAAATTTCCTGCTGCTAGTTGCTGATTTGAACAGCAGTGAAAATATGATTTTGTGATAATGGGGAAGAAAAATAGTTTTGTGTTTTATTTTTAAATATTGAACTGTGGAAATTTGTTGACCATAAATAATATGTTCTGTTTTTGTAAATTTAAGAAGTGTACATACTTTAGTGAGTTTAAAGATTTATTATCCATTCTTTTTTTGAGCTTTTTCTAGAATTCCACATTTAAATAAGTCATCTCTTTCTTAATGAGCCCCAAATGTTTTCTTTCTCTAAAATCACTAGTTTAGCTTCAAGAGTGTAGCATATCTTAATTTCTGATATTCACTTTTCCAAATAAGTTTCAGATATGGTGCACCAAGTTTTTTTTTTATGTTATCTCTTTACTATTTTTGCACACACTCTTTATTTATGATAAAGAAAAAATGGCTGCCATTCTACCACCACTTTAAACATTTTCAAAGGCATGGTTGAGCTGTTTCCTCCTCTTTCAACAAAACAAACTCATCCTAAGGATGAGTCAACTAATTTAGCTTAGAGAGTATATTCGATTTCCAAATGCTGAAGTGGCAGAATGAGTTTCAGAAACAGTGCCTGTTTAACATTGGATGCACCCAGAAAGTTAATCTCTGTCTACTTTGCAGATTTTAAATCCTTACAAAGCAAAATCTCCCCTGTTTCTGACTCTATTTCTGTACGTTACAATGTTTAGTGTGCAAAAAAGATCATTTTAAAATAAAAAAAATAGACAGCAAGTCGCTTTTGCAGGGCAATGGAGCAGTGTTTTCTAAATATGTGAATGTAATGTTGTCACTTTTTGTGTTGTAAAATACTGATAGTGAGGAAAAAAATCATTAGAGCAGGACTACATTTGTCAAGTGATGTGACAAGCTGGTGTGCCATAGGATAAATCTTATAGATTTTTGAAAAGCAATGTCAAGACGTCCGCTGATAAGATACGATAGCTGCAGTGAAAAACTGCTTTGTCTTTCAAACGTTGACCTCGAGTTCTTTCGAATCACCTCTGAATGCACTCCCTGTGAAATTTTTGTGATTCATCCCAAGTTGTAGGAACATTTTGTTCATTCCTATTCAACGCACCTGCTGGTTTCCAACTCCCGCGACTCTGCCAAGGCCGCTCTGACACTCCCCTCCTCTGTATATACGGTTGATGTCATGTTTTTCTGGCCTCATTAACTGAATCTTACAGCAGCCAATAGCTGCAGGACAGGTTATGGCTCAGGGAGGAATGCTTTTCACTTAGGGAGCCACTCACACAGCTCCATGTGCCGCAACCTCAACAGCTCAACAGTAACAATGAACCCCCCCTCACACCCATCCACCACAGCTTATTTGCAAAGCAAATTTCCTCCGGCGTCCCTGGATTTGGTGAGAAGTACGATAAACTGAGATAAAATATGACTATTTGAGCAGCAGTGCAACAACACAACAAAACAAAAATAGTGCAACTGAAGGGAAAAGATTCACTTCTGGGGAACTAAGAACTTGTT